GTAGCCACAGATGAGCCTTACATGAAAGCTCTACCTGGTAGCACTTGAACTAGTGGCTATTAATTTTCAAAATACTGCCAACATTTTCTAAGACATACTTTGCCTCACTGGAATGAAGTACTTCTAATTATCCACCTACCACAACCTCTTTCACTCCTACCAGAACACAAGACATTAGAACTAAATGGATTTTTAAACACTCTGAATGACTGAACAAATTCCCAATACAAGCACATTGCCATCTTCAACACAGAACTGGTACTGCAATATTGTAATTTACAGGCAGGCAGCTCTAGCAGTACTCAGATATAGCAAATAGAAATTTAAAAAATCTAGACATTTAAAATCCTCATACAGTAATTCTAAAACTGTGGAAAAATTATGCTAAATTACTTGCTTATAAAAGGAAAAAATCCATCAGATCATATCTGCAAAGCCAAACACTAATATTAACTAGCAAGAAAACATCCCAGAATAATTGCAATGAAAAAAGCAGAATGTTATGAGTTACTAAAAAACCAGGCAGAAGCAACAGACCTTCTTCCAATCCCCTTTGTTTGTCCTCCCAGGAATCAATACTTTAAAATGCTAATGTTAGAATCATTCTCATAGAAATATTCAAAGCCTGGAGAAATAAAAGGTACTGAAAATAGTGCAATAATTGATAGGTTTTGAACTTCCCTCTTACCACCTTGAACACACTCAGTGAGTCAGCTCAAAACACCACAAAACTTGTGAATGGCTGCTTCTATCTGGATCAAGAAAAGCAATGGCGTAGATAAACACAGAGCGAGACAATGGCAAACCCAGAGGTTTGAAATGCAAGACTAATGGATACAGACACAGCAGAAGGCATGGTCGGTGCCAGCCTTCTCTAAGATTCGAATAGACCAGCAGTCTCCACAGTCACTTCATGGGTATTTGTTCTTGCACACCACAGTCCCCAGCTCCAAATACAACTTGGAAAATTATTATCAGACACTTAATTCTGTTGAAGCTGAACACGTCAAACTGATTGCTGAATACTCCCAAAGCCCACCCAGTGTTTGGGACAGTCACATGAATGAAATAACCAGGGAAATCACCTACAAAGCTCAGAACCACTTAGTGACAGCAGAGTAATTTAGAAACTGGAGTATGATACACAACCGAAATTTCTGTCCTAGAGATGAGAAGTCAGGGATTATGACAGTTCATGTAGTATGGCTTAAAAGTCAAAACCTGTCTGATTTTTTAGGTTATTCCAGTAGTAGAACCTCCTGCCAGTCTTCTGAGACCAGCAACCGCTGGACTTCCCAATCATTGGGAACTGCAGAGGTGCAACTACAGTCAATGCACTGAGTAAGTTCTTAACAAGTTCCACCTCATTGTTTAAGCAATAAAACTCCACAAGTGTTTCAAGCTGCAAGATTAAATACAGTTGTGAATTTAACTGCTTTATAAATTAGTAACATAGGATTCAGGTAACGAAACTCCTCCTTTTTGGCTTTTCTGAAAAGCAGAATTACTACCTTAAACAAAAGCTAGCAAGCAACCACAGAGCATTTGGTCTTTTTTCTTCATAGAATTTATTACTTGACACCAGTTCTTTGATTTAAACTGAACAGCTTCTCTGCAACTTGTGGGTCTTACGGCATACCGATAAGTTGTCCCCACTTACAGTCCTTTGGTTTGTATGATTAAGTGGTCTCAGTATGCACTAACTGAAATCTTTCTAGATGAAATTAAACCAAAATATGCACTCCGGGAATAAACTTCAACAGTCAATGGTCATTTAGTCTGTCACCACACTAGATCTAGTTCGAAGCAAACACACCCTCTATTCTTGCTTCCTTTCCAAATGAGTACATTTTGCATACCAAGGCCCTAGCACCAATTATTCTGTTCTACAAACTTGTTCTGGATTGTGTGACTTGCTCATAGAATCATAGCTCATTAGATCCACATGCCATTACATGAAATAATAATTTTGGGGAAAAAAATATCACAGTAAGACATACTATGTTTTTTTGCTGGAATTGTACGGCAGTAATAGTACGTATGTTTACACATATAAAATTCAGTGTATGCCTTTAATATATTTCACATACATATATATATCCAGACACACACACTCATACATGTCTAGGTCAGTCTTCTATGTGGAGATCTACTACAAGTACTATATACTATAAAATAACTGAAAACTGTAAATAACACCTTTTTTTCACCAGTATTGTGCTCCTATGTAAGTGGCACAGCTATTAGAGCTGGCAGACAACTTTCAAAGTGAGTTTTCCTAATAAAACACCATCTACAGACACCAACTATTGGCATGTCCAATGCCTGGATGCACTGTGAAAGTGGCTGGAAACCAGGGTTATGAGGTTTGCAAGAGAAGAAAGGAACCTGAATTCTACCACAACCCCAAAAAACCAATTCATAATATGCTCACAAACTAATTCTGTGCTAAATTAAGCAAGTCGTTTCCACCAAGGAGTAGAGGACTACATACCAATTCTGCCACAGTTGAGTTACAGACTGATTGGTTGGTCTGTTACAGATAAATGATCTTTGTTTTTCAAAGAAAAGCCTGTAGGCTACTAACTTTCATTTTTATTGCCTGTTTGATCCTACTCAGATGTTTAACATATGTTCAGCAGGAAATAAAAGATACAGTGTGTGATTTAAGACTGTCTAAATGCTGGAACCAGAACAGCAATTCTCTGTGTGGGCACAAGAAGGGCATGCATTTCCCTCTCCCCCCATTCCTCACTCCTCATCTTCCTCTACCTTTCTAAAAGACATCTGTCTTAAAAAAAAAAAAAATGGATTTTCATAACTAACACTTTAAATGCAGGAAAAAAAGAGTTTTCAATCCATTTTTTAGTAACAGCATTGTTTTTACTTATACACACATACACATTACAACAGAGTAATACACTTGTACACAGCAAACAGCAAAAGCTTAGCTTCTGCTTTATAGCCTTGACTTTTTTGTAGAAACATGTAATTTCCTCAAGACTAGGTGCTATTTGTTATACTCAACATGCAGAAGAAGATACCAGTAAGCTATTCCTATGGCATGGGGAAATAATATCCTACATGTAACTTTCAGCTTAATGTAGCACCCAACACATTCCATTTGATATCAACATTTAATTTGTCCTTTAATCTGAACAGACTTGACTTTGACCAATTCATTACATTCCTGTCATTTTATCAGTGAGTTGTTGCATGGACCAACAGGTCACTTCATTTTTTTCCCCTTGACTTTAAAAGATGGAAGAAACATAGAAAACGCTCTAATTTGTCATGTTAACAAGCAATCAGAAATAATAAGCTAAGAGAATTTTCTGTACTGTTCTTACCTATTTCACAATATGTAGTTATATAAATAAATAGAGCTATATAAATAAACTAAACACTATCACCAAGGAATATGTCTAGAGGGAACTGAATTTACCACTTAATCTTCAAGGCATTCTTCTCAGAAGAAATTATACAGAAGTTAGCTGGATTTTTTTCAAATATTTGTTTGTAAATGTGTGGAAAAGCGCTAAAAGAAATTTCTTCTGCCTTGGGATCCCAAACTATCAGTACCTTTTGGAATCAGAACCTTCCTAGGTAGGCAAGACATGGTAAGATTTCAGAACAAAACTACAGAAAAACTTGCCTGTCTCCTTAATTGTTAGTTAGTAATTATCCTAGCAGTAAGCTAATAAATCACTGAACAAACTGATCTCAATTATCATTTCAGTTATGATGTGGGTCTCTGTAAAAGACAATATTGTCTTGCAGTCTCAAGAGAAATAACTTAATGGAAGCACAATACTGAATTAGATACAAAGATAAAAAAACCCAACAGACACTCGCAGTCATTCTTAGCTTACATTCATAGTGTTTTAGTAAGATAAGAGGTTGAAAATGTGAATATTTTTTCTTGATGGGTACAGATGAAAGGCTGTAACCAGACAAGACTTCAAAGGCCACCAAGATTTGGCACCCAACAGACAAAATAAGATTAGTAAATAAATCTGTGTTTTCTAGTAGAGTGAGACTCAAGAATTCACATATTGTGTCTATGTGACACAGGACTGTCTACTTATTGCACAAACCAACCCATCTACGTCTAAACTTTCAGCCCTTGATGCTTTGGAACATGTATGTGTCTTTAAATAAGCTGCCAAAAATAAAATCTAATTGCTCTGTGCCTCAGTTTCCATGCAATATAAAGAAATAACGATAATGGCCTCCTGGAAATCACCAGGCCTACTGATGTAGGCTGCTGTATAAGAACTCCTAGTTATTGATAAAGAGGAAGCTGTATATTACCTATAGTAATGCAATTTTAAAATGAGTTGTGGCCATTCTTCACACTACTCAGAATAAATAGGCAGTCTTTTGAATTTCCCTGCCTAAAACCTACGAATGCTTTTCCAAAAGCGAATGTGAGGACATGAAGATAGCACAAGTTTCAGCTGTTGGATTTACAAAAACATGTCAGGTAGAAGTATAAAAATACAGATTGCAACATTCTACAAAAATGCAGTTTCTACAACAGAGGGCACTTCTTTTTCAACATCACTCCATGTGAAATATCTAAGAACTGCAGGTGTATGTTAAACTACCATAATTAACTATACAGACAAACCGATCTGCAAGACATTTCTGAATGGGGATCAACAAGTGGCAGATTGCCCGCACAAAGAAATACATTTACCAGTTATTAGTTATGAAGTTAAATCATATGAATGCATTATCTGCATTTGCTTTCTTCAGAACGTTAATCTGCAGCTGTTTTGCAAAAATGTTATGTCCACTATGCGAATGGTCCATACTCTACATACAGGCAGCTGGCACAGGTTAGAGGCAAAGGAAGTTGAACAATCATCAAAACAAAGTGTAATATTTAAATAGCTAACATGAAACAGAGGTAGAAGACTACATATTTTAAAGAGAACTTTACCAATATAGTATCATGACAGGAAGGAGAAGATACAAATGCAAGATGTACTTACCAACTTCTGACTTGAACTGAAGCAAGGCACTGTTGTATCCCAGGGTAATTAACACAGACTGTTTTCCCACATGACAGTATTCCGTGTCTCTGTTAACCATGCTTTTAAACACACAGAGTCCATCAGCTGAAAGGAAAAAAATACTTTAGAAGACTTTTAGCAGTTAACAACAAAGAACTATAGGTATCTTTTGATATAAAGAACTATATGTATCTTTTGATTAACAATATACATAAGCACATATCTGAAGTATGCTACTTGGCAAAAATACACTTTCTCTAAACCCCAATTTTCCAGTGACCTCCAATTTTCCAGTGACCCACAGTTTCCATCCCACCTATTATCCACAGTTTCTTGAAGCTGCCCTGGCCTCAGAAGATAGAAAGAGAGCTGACTAGATTAATTTTTACCTGGATCCTAACAAGGTCTTAAATTAACATTTTTTTTCTACTTTTGCTTCTGTAATCCTATGCACTGATGCCCTGATAACCTCTAGAGATGCTGCTCTGGCAGATGAAATGGGACCAATTATACTACTATGTACCACACTGTGTATGAAAACTATTAATAAACATACCACGTGAAAAAAAAAATGCAATTTTTCAGACTGAAGAACTTGTAAGTACTGCAGATTTAATGAATGAACAGTGTAAGTACAATGTAAGAGTTAATGAAGAACAATGTAAGTACTTCAGAGTTAAGAAAAGGAGCAGCAGAGGGCAAGTCTTCCTACTGTGCTCCTTGAGGAGGGGGATCCAGTATCAGAGGCTTAAGTGGTGCAGTACATCAGTATGCAGTCACTATCAGCCTCATAGATGTCAGGAGGCAACTGTGTGAACATATCAAACGAGATGCACATTCTCACCTTCAGAAATCTGAAAGAGGTCTAAAAGGGAACTTCATGCAAACGGCAGCTATGGACACAGTTGACAATAAGTAAAGCTTTTAAATTACGGAAGTTTTGTGTTATATGTATCTTCATCACTCAAACACTCAAACTCTCAACAGCAAAACTCCAGGACTTAATATCCTGGACCATTCTTCCATGCATTTTATTCTACTTTGCTGACAAGTGTTTATTATGGTTCAATCACGCACATTTTATCCTTCTGGAGATAAATGATAAAGCAAAACAAAAAAACCCATCAGAACCAGAAAAATTGAAAGGTTTAAGGCAAAACAAGAGAACTAAAAGCAAAAGTCCAAAACAATAGTAACATAGAAAAGTGATACACTGCAATAGACTAAAAAGCATGCAAGAGATAAAACTGAAGGAAAGAAAGAATGAAGGGGAAGAAAATGCACAACTTGAAAAGCAAAAGACATAATAAACAAATTATTATAAGCTCAGCAGAAAGCTCATACACTGCTGAGCTATGCTTTTCTGCTAGCAACATTTGAAGGACCAGAATGAAAAGGCATACATAGAGACACACCATACAGGCACCCAGTGCATCCTTCTTAAGCCTTACACTTTACAGCATCTGCTGTAATGCCAAGTGAACAGAGAAAAAGACCACTATATGACGTTCCATGTGTCAAGCAAAGTTTAATCGGACAAAAAAATGTTATCAAGAAAGGAGATGTGTCCCACCAGGGCTGGAACACTTTTACATCTTCACACTCATTTGTATTTGTAGCTGCTTCTGTAATTTAGGCTTGTGAACAAATTAAATGCAGACAACTGAGCTTGCTACCTTCTGTCACCATTTCTCTAATGGAAGTCACAGTCAGCCTGGGCTGAACAGACCCAGCTCCTCTGGTCTACTGGTTTTTGGACACTATGTGCTGCAGTTCCCTATCTGGGCTTACTACAGTTTACCAAAACATTTCATATTTTTGCAAAGTGGTTGGCACACGGACTTCTGGTGTTCCAGAAGTTTTGACTAATGCTCATGTCTTTTTACATTTTTCAAAATGCAAGCTTTTCTTCCACGCATAATCATCAATGCCATCTTCCACATGAACTTAAAACAATGTGTATATACTGTATCAGTTACTAATCAGTACTAAAAAAACCACTCAAGCCACTTGTAAAAGCAAAATACTTTCAAATGTACAGCAATACAGGAGTGTATCAACTCATTTCTAGCTCATACTGTCTCTTAGCACACACATGAATCTGTCTTTTCACTTATGTCTCAGTTTATTCATACTGATCTGCACCTGGATTGGAGCAAACCTAAACATGGATACAAGGTGGGCAAGGAATGGATTGAGAGCAATAAGTGGATTAAGCCCTGTGGAGAAGGACTTTAGGGTACTGGTGGATGGAAAACTGGATATGACCCGGTACTGTGCACTTGCAGCCCAGAACTGTATCCTGGGCTGCATCAAGAGAAGTGTGGCAGCAGGGCGAGGGAGGGGATTCTCTCACTCTACTCTCATGAGACCCCACCTGCAGTACTGTATCCAGCTCTGGGGTCCCCAGCTTAAGAAGGACACCTGCTTGAGCAGGTCCAGAGGAGGCCATGAAGACGACTGGGGGGCTGGAGCACCTCCCCTGTGAGGACAGGCTGAGAGAGTTGGGGTTGTTCAGCCTGGAGAAGAGAAGGCTCCAGCAAGACCTTATTTGGCCTTCCAGTGCTTAAAGGGGGCCTACAGGAAAGTTGGGGAAGGAATCTTTAGCAGGGAGTGTAGGGATAGCATGAGGGATAATGGCTTTAAACTGAAAGAAGGTAGATTTAGTTTAGAGATAAGGAATAAATTCTTTCCTGTGAGGGTGATGAGACTGGCACAGATTGCCCAGAGAAGCTGTGGCTGCCCCCTCCCTGGCAGTGTTCAAGGCCAGGCTGGACGGGGCTCTGAGCAACATGATCCAGTGGAAGGTGTCCCTACCCATGGCAGGGGGGCTGGAGTAGGTGATCTTTAAGATCCCTTCCAACACAAACCATTTTGTGATTCTGTGACTGTATCAGTGCTTTTGGTATCTTCATTCAGCCTGGAGATGGCACTGGGGGACATAACACTTATGTGGAGAGTTCTTTGAGAAGGTGGATCCAGGTCTCATTCCTGAGGCAGCCAGTAGGAGAATGTGAGACAGTGGTATAGCTAAGGTAGGGCCTATTATCCCATTAAAGCAGAAGCACACTAAACAGATACAGACCTGTTTTGAACCTAGACATATGCACGTTGATATAGCATAGCTGTATAAGCATTTTTGTATGCAGTGGTCCTGTAAAAAAACATATTGTCCTTAGCAGGAACAAGCCACAGGCCTAATGCAGACTGTGCAAGGCTTTTTGTAATTTTATATCTATCTATCTATCTATCTATCTATCTATCTATCTATCTATCTATATCTCACACACACAGAGGCATTATTTATAAATATTTGACATTTTGTTTGAATTTTTGCCTCATTTTACATGTGAGATCCAAACACCATGATTGTTATTCAGAAAACTGCATAGAAGACAGTGTTGGAATGAGTCATGCCTGATAAAATTCAATACAGATATAATAATACCTTTAAAAACTACTACATTATCTTTACAAAAAAACAAAACAACTATTTTGTAAGAGAGCTGAGGGTAAGCGAAAATATTTCAATTCATAAACAAAGATAAAATTAATAAACTAAAATATGCATTGTTTATACCCACGACAGTGGTACAACAGACTCAAATACAAGGCAGTTAACACTCTATTCTTCAATGCAGCTCCTCAAAATAAGACCCCAGACCATGAATTCCATGGCCCACTGTTTATTTTATTTTATTGACAACACAAACAGGCTACTACTGTAGGGTCCGAAGGATCTCCTTCCTTGTTCCAAAAATCAGAATTAAAAAAAAAAAAAAATTATTCTCTACTAAGCCTATGGGAACAGGTCACATACAGCATACAGCACCTTCTTTATTGGTGAGAGAATGAGTGCCTTTCCATTAGTCTTTAAGTTTATTCAATATGTGAAACAGATTTTACCAGAGTTTACTATGAGGACTCTTTTTTTTTTTTTCTTCTTCCTACTATGCTGTTGTGTTTTAAGAGATAACCTTACAACTGAAATGGATTTTTGAGAAGTGTGTCACAAACATACCTACTTTCAAAGTCCATGGAATCATATAGGTTGTTTTTGCAGGGTTTAAGAGAGAATTTAAGAAAATGACATAGAAAAAGAAAAACTGCACTACATTCAGAAACAAAGAGCCTCCTGGCATGTTCTGGGTTGTGTTGTGGTTTTTCATTTTTAAAAAAAGTTCTCATAATAACAAATATTCAAAACCAGAATATAAACCCATCACAGCTTTTGCAACTTTGACTACTAGTTCTCATGTGCAGAAACATTTCTGAACAATTCCTCTCAATGTAAAACAAGGTTACCACATCTAAATATCTTCTCCTAACTATGTCATGGTCTACTGCATACAGTGCCTCTATGGAACACTACAAAGCACTTTACAAAAAATCAAGAATAGTTGCTCAGAACAAAACTAAGCATATGGCTAACATTTCACCTAATTACTAACAATAAAGAGAAAATTTAAAGTTACTCACCTGAGCAGAACAAGACTTAGTGGACATAGCCTAAAGTAACTCCATCAAAATCTAAACATGACAAACATAAATGACTGAAGTTTGCAAGAAATCCATTCACAAACAAGAATACAAGAGAGTGAAAGGTCAGCCATATCCTGAGGAGCAGAGGGGAAAGGATAGAAATTGTCTTCTTTCCCTTAAATTTACTGAACAGTGGATACTCTGTTTAACCAATAATCAAGGTAAAGGCTTTAAAAACTACAAAACTCAGACAGTATGGTATGGCATTTCTCAAAGAATAGAGCAGCATTTACTTAAAGAGATTCACACCTGGCCTTCCTAGACAGCCCCTACTCCAGTCCCGTTTCTGGGGAAGCATGGTTTATGCATCTGTGCTGATCAGAAACCCCCATCTCCTCTCATTTTTGAGCTCATCAGCTGATTAAAATAAAATTTGGTTAATGTGCTAAAACCATCGTGTTCCTGAAAGTTGCATAAAAAGGGTGCCTGAATAAACATGAGAGGCCCAGTGTGCAATTCTTATTAAGGAAATGATAAGACATGCTTACTAGCTACATTTACTTCTCATCTCATGCATGTCAACTCCAGAGAGAACCACTGCTGGTGCTACATAAGCAGGAAATGGAGGATTCATAATCATGCATTGCAGTGGAGTAACTTCAAGCAATCTCCAACAGAATTGGGACAAAGAGAAGGAGGAAGCTCTGAAGTGACAGTGGGAAAGGGTGAGGAAGACACTAGGGTAAAGAGACAGCCTGCGAGACAGCCTACTTAGATATCACTGATACTTATCATTGAGATTATTCTGCATATAACTGGAGAGAAAAATTACGTATGTGCTAAGCTGCTGTTGAATTTTGTCAAAGTATCCATTGAATTAGAAAAAAACCACTCTTCTCTCTCTCTCCCTCCCTCACTTGCTCCATACTATAAGGTACCGCCAATAACTCTTTCCTAAAATGATATTGGGGATTTTAGTGAAGAGCTGGTGTAATATCCTCTTCTACAGAACTTGCAATTTAATGCAGAAATACATGGATGCTGCAGCGGCTAGCTGTCAGGTTCTTGCTCTCAGCTTCAGAACTCCATGTTTAATATTAAATGCACCATAACAAAATGTTATGTACTTCTGTTAGGTAAGGGCGAGTTGGATGTGTTTTGTTCTTTGGAGGCTTAAATCATGTCTGTGTTTATATCCTTGATACTTGCAAGGGACAAAAAGTACAGTAACACATGAACAGAAAGAACCAAAATAAGTACAAGATTCCAAGGATGTTACAGCATGTTTTCAAAAGCATTAAAGGAAGCTTCTTTTGATTGTCTGAAGTCCACAAAGTGAGAATACTCCAGAGAAACAGTAGCTAATAGCCTTTCACAGCAACTGAACAAGAGTGTAACCGAATTAAAGCAGAGTTGCTGTGGCAGGAGAAACCTCCAGACATTGCAAAATTTGAAGCCTTCAATTAGAACTTCACTGGCCTCTGTTTAAGATCACCCATGTTTACATACCAGTTATCACTGAAAACGAAATCCAAAAGGTCTCCCAGCCCTGGAGAAGCCACCACACTGCTACATTTGCATCCTATAAGATTCAGCCATCTGTTCTAAAGCTTCCTTTGATCCAAGTAGTTTGCAGCCCTGGATTTTCTTCTGGGTCTTCTGGGAACACTTCCCAGATACCAATTTTATACTTTCTTTTTAGAAGTTCTCATTATTTATACCAGAACTTTTGCAATTTTGTTATGATCATTCCATAAAACATCTATGAATTACATTTTAAATATCCCATATTCCCAAAGCAATGCACTATGCTAGTCAACAGGATTTCTGCTCAGCACCCTCAAAAATATTTTGACCCAAGGTCAGAGTTCTCTCAGCAGTAGCAGGCTACCTTTTAAGAGCAATTTTGCAGACTACATCTTCAGTCTCAAATCAGTGGTGAAGAACTGTCAACAGAAAATAGGACCAGGTGCTGATCTATTTTATTGACAATACCTTTGTTCCACAAGAGCCATTCATCTCCAGCTCTCCTTGAGTTCACAGCTCATCATAAACCACTGTCTCCCTGATGGACACTTCTCTCAAATGGCGAAGCACTCAGAAGTATACCCACTTTCTGCCTTTGGCACCTGTACTTTAAAGTCCAGTGTTTCTTCCCACTCTACATACATTAATACTGCATTGTGGAGATTCTTGATTTCTCCTGTCTCACAGCTGAAGCCAATCTATTGCCTGATAAAGCATAATCCTTCATTCTTTCTTGTTTTGACATCCTGTATTTATTTATCAGATTCTGCATCTCTCAAAATCATGACCAGTTGTTCTACTTATGGGGAAATTCTACTCCTTCAGGCTCCTTTCTGAGGAACAGAGTGGTTGTATTGATAGCCCTTGACTTTAGACACTGTACTGCCCCAGTGTGCATCCACATGAAAGGGAAATGATAAGGCTTGAACAGGTGCAATTCTTACTGTCACTGACAGTAAGGAGCACAAATAGCAGCAGCTGATCAACCACAGCAGAATCAGCTCACACATTTGCCTTTTTTTTTTTAAAAAAAAAAAAAGTCTGAGTACCAGCAGTATACTATATACTATGCAACATAGCTACATTCTTACTTAGCTCTATACTTAATTACCATTATTACATTGCAGACAATAATGGAACAGTTTCAGACAAATACGGCAGTGATAGATGAAGCATAAAAAAAACTACAGATACACTGAATGCTGTAACAAGGATAAGAACACAGTCCTGATGGACAGTCTAATCACAGATGTGCAGTCAGAGTAATTTTTGACCAAAGAGTTTGACCAGGGGTATTTTATCACTTTAAAATACACATGAAAATTGCACCTTTTGTTCTCCACAAATAGACTTCTGGACAAACATGTCTTTACTGGGAAAAAAAAAAAAAAAAGTAGATAGCACCTTAAACTAGAACTGTTATTTATTTGGGGGTTTGTTTGTTTTGGTGGTGTTTTTTTTTTTTTTTTTTTTTTTTTTTTTAAAGACTCAGAAAAGATGTGTTTAAAGAATCACAGTAACTACAACCAAATTATATTTTCCCAAACATACCCAATACATAGCTTTGGGACACATATTCAGGTAGAAAATTTGAAAATAAGGTAATGTTTATCACTTCAATGTGAAGTATGGAGGAAAAAGAAAAAAACCTTCAGATTATGCCAGTTTCCTTTATTGCTTACATAACATGTCTTACCACCACAAGGCACCACAGTATGATCAATTCTATTCAAATCTATTCAAGATTTGCAAGAAAACAGCTTGTCTTTTCACAGCAAAATTGTCCACCCTAGATGAGAAGACATAAATAACAGTAAGATCATTCTAATGAGCATAAAACCACACTACATAAGCAGTACTAATAATAGGGTATGTCATCTAGCTGTTTGCAGACTTTTTCTCTCGCCTAAGACACAAAGTATTCAAGCATCAAGTTACTGAGCTCCCAGATAACAGTAAGAAGATTTGTGTTACTCATAGGGTCTGACAGGGCACAGCTTGAACATCTTCCTATGAAAGGAAAAAGACTAAAGAAGCAGCTTGCATCTCAAAAGAGTTTTGCAAAGTTTCCCGCTCTTATGCACCCTCACCCAAAACTTTTACACACACACACACACACACACACATACACACTCACACACACTCCCTCCCTCTATATCTTTGAAGTTCTCACTTTGAATTTCACTGTACTTCCAGCATGTCTTTCATTCATATGCATGCAAGAATGAGGGAGTATAAAATGAAAGACCAAGAGAACAGTAACTACAGACCAGCCTTCAAATTAATACAGTGCAAGACAGAAGCAAGTCTCAATTGTGATTAGTGGTCAGTTGTCACTCATGCTTTCTTAAATGACATGTTAAATGACTGATAGCACAAGCAAATATATTATCAACTGATTTATTTACACTGCTGACCGAAAACCAAACATGACTGTTAATCCATCTATTTCATTCAGAAGTTACCAAGATCACTTTTGAAAAAAATCAAAGCCACAACAGGTTATCATGTGTCTAGACCTGCTCAGGATTGGTCTCATATTCACCGACCTCAGTGATAGTATTTCTAACTACTTTCTACATATACAGCAATTTCAGGTTTTTTTCCCTAGTCTTCCTACCGCCCAGATTCAAGAAGTTTGTTTTATTTTAAAATGTCAGCTCTACTACTATGCTGTAAAGACACAAATCCGAAAAAATGATTGCTTTTGAGAAAGTCAGTAAAGTGTTTGCATGCAGACATCACCTGTGCATCTTAAAACAGCCTATCTACAAGCAGCAGAGTCAGAGAGGATTCTCTCACTGCCAAGTGCTGCACCCTGGAGTGGTTTGGATTCCCCCCACTGCACAGCGCATCCCGAGACTTGCTGTGTTCTGCTGCCCTCTCAGCACAGCTGCCTAACCGCAACAGCAGCAGCAGCAGCAGAAGATCAAACATAGAACTACTGTTTATAGAACTACAGAGCAGCTCCTTTACCTCCTATCCTTTCTAGTTCTGTTATTTTGCCTCTTCCACTTGGCTCATGGAAAGGTATCAGGGCCCTGCCCTTCAGATAAGGCGGAAGGACCTCTTCTGACCATGCCTGGCTAAAGATACAGACTCAACAATGCTCAAGAACAGAGACGAAAACCGATCCTGGCGTGCCAGTCTGTACCCTTCCCCGATAAAGCAGTATCTTGCCGAGGGGCAGTTTGCCCCCGACAAGGCTGTACCAGCGCTTCGCGGGTCCGTGCAGACGAGACCAGTTCTCGCCAGCTGCCTGCGTGACGCCCGGCCGGAGCTCAGGCTGGCTCCCCACCATGCCTTCCCTACCACTCCATGCCCACGGCCACCCCAGGGCCCGGCACGCCCCAGGAAAGCGCCTGGAACGGCCCCTGCGCTAAGACCCGAACTGACCCCGACGGGGCCAGGGCTCTCGCTACCGAGACCAGTGCCCACGGGGGCGCGCGCCCAGCCCCGCTCCCGCC